AGAGAGAAAAATGGATGAAAATGGGTTGAAACTGTTTAATAATTTTACAAGACGCGTATTGTACACATAAATAATATTTTCTTGAATATTTGAAAGTGCACTATTTTCGTGCGCGTGAATGCCACCCTAGGAACACATTGCAATGTGCTCCTAGGTGCTGTATATTATAATTGATTTTATCCCCCCTTTTTTGGCATTTAATCTCCTAATCTTATTCCTTTTTTTTTGGCATTTAACTCCCTGATCTTATCTCTTTTTTTTGACACTCGATTAATTTCAAATCTTTTTTTATTTGCTTATCATGTTAGCTTTTATATTATTTTATTTTATGAGATAATTTTTTTATAATGATGGATTTTATTTTAGTAAAATTGACTATGGTTAATCATTGAGACTTATGAACATGGAGAATCAATGTGTATTTTCCCAGTAATGAATAACCAACGTTTAGACAATGAATAATGTTATGCAATTATTGAAAGATGATTGATGTAGAATGTATCCGTTTTATTGATGAATATACATGCGTAAGGTAATGCGTATTATATGATTAATGATGAATAGGAATTTCATTGTTGTTTTCCGACTGATGGTGTATTATCTCATTACGTTTTTATGATGAATATCTTACGTTAATTAATGAATAACGAGTTCTTATTGATGAATAATTGGACGATGTTTCAAGTCTGAGAAAGAGGCTTTTGCTGCTTATAATTCTAGTGCATTGTTTTTTCCAAAAAAAAGGTTCGGACATTGGAAAATGTCCAAATCTGGTGTTGTATATTGGAAACAATTTGCATACATCAAACAAGGAGTAAAAAATTCATGAGGTAGATGATATACAACAATAAATAATTATACCAAACTGATGAATACAGCAATTTCAACAATGAATAATTATACCAAACTGATGAATAATACAAAGATCTACTAATTTACCAAAAAAATAATACTAGTTTACAAAACTGCCGAATAACCCTCTATATCAATGTCTACACTTATTGTGGTTTGTTTTTTTTTGCAGATTCAGATATCCTGCTTTTTTCGATTTTTGATTGTTATTCTTCGCTCATGCTTCTTTCAGATTCTGTCTGATATTCTTCGCTCGTGCTACAATATGTTTACAAATTCCATGAATAACAATACTGCATAGTTATAGTAAAACGATGAATCCGACAATTTCAACAATGAATAATTATACCAAACTGATTAATAATACAAAGATCTAGTAATTTACCAAAAAAAATATTACATAGTTATGGTAAACGATGAATCTGACAATTTCAGCAATGAATAATTATACCAAACTGATAAATAATACAAATATCTACTAATTTACCAAAAAAATAATACTACATAGTTATGGTAAACGATGAATCTGACAATTTCAACAATGAATAACTATATCAACCTGATGAATAATACAAAAATCTACCAATTTTTCAGAAAAGCAACATCCAATAGAAGAACAAAACTCTAAAATTGATAAACAAATACCGTCAATCGAGTGAATATACCTTACATCTACAGAACCCAAAAAAAAAAAAAAATCAATGGTTGAATACGAAGAAAACTTTAAACTTTGATGAATAGATATGCATAATCGAATGCATATACAGTAAATCTACAAATCCCATAAAAAAACGTATCAATAGTCCAAAAGATTAATAGTATTACCTTCGTTCATCTTCACTTTCCGAACTGCTTCTGTTCGGTTCAGATCTTCAATCGGTGGTTTCTGCGTGGATGAATTTTGTTCATGTATTACCTTAAATCGCATCTTGAACAGAGTATATTTCCACAATTTTCACTGGATGATGCACTATCTGATTTCGTCCCAAAAAATTCAACCGACGAGAGGTTTTCTGGCCAAATCGCTGTAGAGAAAATTTAGTTTTTTAGTTTTTTTTTTTGTTTGAGACGGATTGTGATGAATGGGTGGAAGATGGATATGGTTAATGGCTGAAAATTAGGAGGAAATGGTGGGATTCGAAATTCTAAAAATTCCATAAAATAAAGAATTAAATGAGATTGCTGTAAATATTGAGAGATTCCTATTTTTGGATCGCGTGAGATTCACACTAAGTACACCTTGCTAGGTGTACCTAGGATCCCTATATTATAATTGTAGATATTAATATGTTCCTATTTAATCGGTTGTTCCTAAATTTTAGCTCTGATGTTTTTCTATCCCGATTATTAATCGCTACTAATCTAATTCTAGGTTTGCTCCAGAGAAAAGGAAAAAGAAAAAGAAAAAGAAAAGGCAAACTTTGTTATATCAGTAGATATCACCGTTATCATTATTACATCGAACCTCCACAGAAATGTAAGGAATTATTCTATGACCCTAAACATCAAATCAAACCATCTAGATCCAAGCAAATATACGGAATTTTATCTATGACCCTAAAGCTAATAGGAAATTGCAAGAAATGAAGTAGTCAACACCAATCAAAATTCAGAACTGCAACCAGACCAAAAGTTTCTACAAATAAGCATTGTTTTACTGGCAGCCCAAAAAAGTTCAACTATCTCTATGTTAACACCAAAAAGGAAAAAGAAAAGAAAAGAAAAGAAAAGTTTCTTCTTTCTGTAAATATCAGAACACACAGTCACACACTACAGACTACTGTTCCCTCATCACACTACCTCTGTCACACAAAACAAACACCACCCTCTACCACCACCATTGCCCCTCCGTACCATCATCCCCTTTACACCTCACCGTCCGGCACCGGTAACGGCAGAAAGAAAAAAATAAAATATCCATGTATTGGAACGAGTGGACTCAGTCCCAAAGACCCACTCGACCCACGTACCTTCCACCCCACCTCCGCGGTCAGCCCGCCATAACCGACTCCATTTCCTCCTCGTCTTCCCGTTCTCCAAGATTCATCCGGGGACGGGGACTTGGGCGCGGTTCTCGAAGTCGAGGGCCAAACCAGGACCGATCATGGGGAGGAGGGAGCCGTGGAAGCTGGCGGTTCAGGGCCCAGCCATTCCGGTCTTCGGAGGGGTTTGATGAGCTCGAGGTCGTAGAAAAGGGTCTTTCAAACGTCCACCTCGACGCTTACGACGAAACACCTGTGGCGAGTTATGGGTTTGACGTTCCGTCTCTGGTGACGTCATTTGCCGATGTTCATTTCAGCGCCGCGCTCATGGAGAACATCAAGCGGTGCAACTATGTGAAGCCGACGCCCATACAGCGCTACGCAATTCCAGTAGCCATGGCCGGACGAGACCTCATGGCCTCTGCTCAGACTGGGTCCGGCAAAACAGCCGCCTTCTGCTTCCCAATCATTAGTGGGGTATTGAAACACCACGCTAAAACCCCTGCCCAAATGCTAGCTGAAGGAAGAGGAATGAACTTGAATATGGCCTGTCCTTTGGCCCTCATCCTTGCCCCTACCAGAGAGCTGTCTTGTGAGGTAGGCCCTCTTATTACTTTTTTTTAGTTTTTGTTCTGGTTAGGAATTCTTTTATGGCCTTTTACTTTCTTGGAGTTTTTTCCCTGATTTTTTTTTGGGATATAAGCGAGTAATAATCTTCCGTTGCTCATCATCTGTAACCATTATTATATAATACTTCGTGTTGGGCTTATGGTTAAATTAACTTTGATGTGCTGTACTTATGATTAAATTAAGTTTGATGTGAACTGAGCAAAAAAAAGAAAAATAAATAAATGAAAAAAATTAAGTTTGATGTGCTGGGCTTATGATGATATTAACTTAGATGAGAAACTATTGTATGTGTTGATGTAGATACACGATGAAGCTAAGAAGTTTGCGTACAAGACAGGGGTGAAGATTGTGGTGGCATATGGAGGAGCACCAATTGTTCAGCAGGTATTGTGTTTCCTTCATATTGACTGTATCTTATATCAGTAATCTGGTGCTAGCTTTGAAGTCGACCTTGATTTTCTTTTTCTTTTGTAACGTTGCAAATCATTGACCTTAAATGGTATCTGCAGCAAATGATAAATCTACTGTTCTGCATGTCTTATGTTTCCTCAGTTTTACTCTGTACTATACAAGTAATCTGTTGTCTCTTTTAGTGTAACCTTGATTTCTTTTGTTATGTTACCTTGCAAATGATTAAATGCAAATGGCTTCCAGTGCAGGCGACTAAGATTAGTTTGTTTTTCTAATTTGCTTTTAATGATGTCGAGTTAGCCCTTTAGACTTACAGTCGATGATAAGCTACCCTCTCATCATTACAGCCTCACTTTGGTTTCTTTCTTTGGGTTCATACTGTCCTTCCAGTTTACTTCTCTGTTGGTGTAGTTTCACATTTTGTGCATTACTTTGATGTACCAAGCACTTTATTCACGATCTGGGTGGTTAATTAATCATGACACTTTGCATTGCATGCTGCAGTTTCGTAATCTGGAAAGGGGTGTCGACATCCTAGTTGCCACTCCTGGTCGTGTGGTTGATATGATAGAACGAGCTAGAGTGTCGCTTAGGAATGTGAAGTTCTTGGCTCTAGATGAGGCTGATAGGATGCTGGATATGGGGTTTGAGCCTCAAGTTCGGAGAATTGTCCAGGAAATGGAAATGCCACGTGCAGATGTCAGGCAGACTATGCTTTTCAGTGCAACATTCCCTACTGAGATACAAGTCAGTATTCATATCACTTTGTTTCTGTATCTTGTATTCTTTCATTGGTTGAGTCCTTCATCCATTTGCTTGAATTCCCTCAAAATAATCGAAGTTAAATGTTGCAGAAGCTTGCATCAGATTTTCTGTCGAACTACATCTTTCTATCTGCTGGAAAAGTTGGATCAAGCACTGATCTTATAGCTCAAAAGGTGCAATTTGTTGCTGACATGGACAAGAAGAGTCGGTTGATGAGCCTTCTTATATCTCAGAGATCAAATGGCTCTCAAGAGAAGGTACAACAGATGAATTTTAACAATGTTTCTTTCTTTAGGCGTCACGTTCTCTCATTCATACAATTCCCTGCTTGAGCCGAAAACATGTTTATATCTTTCGCAGCCTATTTTAACTTTGGTGTTTGTGGAGACTAAGAGAGGAGCCGATGCTTTGCAACTATGGTTATCCATGAAAGGATTTCCTTCCATTGCTATACATGGTGACAAAGTACAACTGGTAAGTCGAATTATAATGCCACCTGTGTTTTTCTTTTCAGTGTATCTTGGTACTGAATATTTTGTTTTGAAGAAAGATGAAAGGCATGAATTTTGCTCATTTTCTACCGTCTTATGATTGTCCAACTTTTTCATGAACAGTGCTTTGAGGTCTTGTTGTGCTTGCCCTTTTGATATTCCTTATTCCTTCTACCTGCGAAACAGTTTGCACTAACTCATAATACATTGTGAACTTTGTTTTGGATGTGCTTATGACAGCTGTCTCTTTGGCCTACTGGTGTAGATAGTCCATGATTTTGTTGCATAATTAATGTGGACTCTTCTATTTGTTGTTATTAGTTTTAGCGAGTTGATCTTATAATCGTAAGCATAGTGTGTGCCTCTTTTTTAGTCTTTTGCTCTTTTTTCCCTAATAAATTGAAGGAAAGAGAACGAGCACTGAGATCATTTAGGACCGGAGTCACACCAATCCTGGTAGCAACAGATGTGGCAGCTCGAGGCTTGGATATTCCGCATGTTGCTCATGTGATAAATTATGACCTGCCTAGAGACATAGATGCCTATGTGCATAGGATAGGCCGGACTGGACGTGCTGGTAAATCTGGATTAGCCACTGCATTTTTCAGTGATAAAAATGTGCCCCTGGCAAAGGCTCTTGTTGAGGTGATGGTGGAGGCAAACCAAGAAGTTCCTTCCTGGCTTTTGGAATATGCTGAGACATACAGCAGTAGTGAAGGCTTCACTCCTGGAGTAAAGCGCAACAGTGGCTTAAAGTTTGGCGGGTCTGATTACAGAAGAGGTGCTTCCAGTGGTAATGAACGCTATGACTATCTGAACCAGATTGCAGATCCTAGAGATGTGCAACCTTATGGTGATGGAGCCTCAAGCTTATATTCCTGCCGTTCCTCTTGTGCAGGTTACTATATTCCTTCAGCTAGTGATGGTTTGTACAGCCACATGTATGGATATCACCCTTTCGATGCTTGCTTATCTGGTATAGATGTTAGTTCCTTGCCTTGCAAAGGAACAGCCACAATGGCGGTCATATATCCAGGAGGTATACTGATTGGGGGTGATTCGCGATACAACAGAAAGTACACCAATTTTCCTGACTTCGTCCAGTATGGTGATTATCCGTACAAAATACACCAACTGCATCCCTTCTTGATGGCTACAGTAGCAGGGCTTTTAACATTTGCAGCTGATGCGATAATAATGTTAGAATCTAGGGCGGATAACTACGCAAAGAGTCATAATTACAGCCCTATGCCTGTGTTAACAGCAGCGCAGGAGCTGTTCAAGATAATACAAGATGCTATTAGGGCGGGACGTTTTGAGCGCGGTTCTGTGCACACTGAATTTTTAGTGGCTGGATTTGAATGGGATAAACCCAGTATCTACAAGGTGGATGAATACAACATTTATCCGAGCCACAAGCATGCTGATATTCAAGGCTTTCAATGGGTTAACAGTGGTACTGGGGGAACAATTCTTGAAGGATACGTGGTTGATAGATGCAAGAGGACGGGACTGACGGAAGAAGTGCATCTCACGGAGTCCATCATTCTAGGACTGTTGGCCACTACGCTTCAGGATAAAGATACAGGAAACACAGCTACAGTGCAGAAAATATCAGAGTATGGATGCAAACCCATGTTTTACAGGTTGAGTCTCCCAAAGCTGTTGAATGCAGGCGTAAATCCTAATAATTTTCTGTAGCAGTAGCTTTGGTTTTGCTAAACCAAGTTGTGTTTGGAATTGGGCTTTTTTGGTAAGTGTAGAGGAAGAGAGAGACTGATTCCACCAACTTCTGTAACTAAGCCCTCTACTTTGCTTTTACCTAAGACTTCTTTCCTAGGTTTTCTGATTTTACGAAGGTAAAGGATGGATTTAGCACTGAGATTAATTGTTTCCTAGAATTTCTGATTTACAGAGGTGTACCAAATTAAGTGTGCCTCAAAATGAGCTCAGGGGAAATATTTTTATCAAGTTCCATCCTTTAGGTTTGCCAATTTGAGATTGTACTGTCACATCGAGAACGGGATTAGAAGTCAAATTCTCAAATTATACAGATGATCCCTCTATTCCCCTATCATCTTCTTCATCAGTGCATATAACTTTTTTTACATTTTACTTCCATCCCTAAAAAGACTACGTTCAAGGTGACAATACAGGAGTGAACAATATGAACACTGCCGGTGGCAGAATCACTTTCACCTTTTCTTCTACGTCAACCTCGCCAAGGAAAATTATGGTGCTTCTCACTTTCTTTTGAGCTCTGCTACATCAAAACCAAAAACCAGGGCCCTTTATTTATTTAATTTTTGAACTGTAAAAATAAAATGGAACACACCTCTTGAAACCCTCTGCTATCTCGCTGAATTGCTGTTTATATACATAGCTCTCAGCTCTTGGTTTAGGCACCACTGGAATTCCCAACCCTTTTCTTCCACTATGTATATAGTTTCTGCCATAATAATGTCGTTTCTCTTTTGGTGCAATCTTTTGATATGCGATCCTGTGTTTGTCCTGTCTTTTGTAAGCTATTTCTGGAACCTATATGAAACCAAATCAATATACCTAGCTCGTGACAGTGATTTGTTTCTCATAATTTATTTAGCTCCAAATCAGATTTACCTGTTTCGTATTCTCCCTACCTTTGAGTTCTTTCACATATTCACCATACAACTATGGTCCATGGGTAAGACCCTATGACATACTTAGACCGTGATTTATACTCATGAGTACGTATTTATTGGTGTTTTTTTGGAAAAAAAAAGAAAGTATTCAGTGGAAATGCACATTGCTTGGTGGTAATGTGATATGTTTTAGGATATGGCTTTGTTGGTAAAGATGCAATTTTTTTCTGGACGTATGTGTTAAAGAAAGGAGAGAAATCAACGAGGGCCTCGAGCTGCTGCGCGTGGTGAATGAGAACGGGATCAACCCCAAAGCTTTGGCAGCGGAAGGACTTGTCCTAGAGCGACAAGAACTGGAAGCACATTCATGGATATATATCCGCCGAGGAATGGGATTGAGGAGCTGAATACCGTGGACATTAAAAACAATATTATCTAATGCACGTCTGTGATTTTAGGTTATAGTTTCCGCAGCCAAGTGAAGTGCAGACTGCAATGACACCACGAAATGGTGAAGATCCGTGCAACTGCAAGTTGATCAAATATGCCTTTGGCTGCAGTCTGTGTGCTTGCTATGCTTCCTGCAACACTGAAGACTGACCAGGGTTGGCATCAAACGTAATTAATATCTCCAAAGCTATCAAACGGTGCATTGGTGATCGCGCTGCTCTCTAGGGCCTGATTATTCACCAAAGTACAGGCATTCATTGCGAAGTGTGGAGCTGGAACATATTAAGGCATGGAGAAATATGATGAGCACCCTCCTGCGTGGCTGCATGATGCACCAGAATCTTGACACGACAGAAAAAGCCCTCGAACACCACCTTAATTTGGAGCCACAAGCACATACAATACAACTATCCAACTTGTACCAAAACAAACCGGAAACGATTTGCTAACCTTAGAGACACTAAGATACCCTATGGATTTGAAACAAAGAAGAGCCAGCCTATTGGGCTAGATTGAATGCAATGACAAAGTTCGCGCATCTCATCGGAGTTGGGCAATTACAATAGCAAAAGTGCATTTGGAATGATGATTTACATTTCATTCAAAAACTCAATACATTCATTGTACAACATGAAACCAATAATAACACTGTTCATTTACAATTTCAGTCCTACTTAATATGAATGTTGGAGGCCTTTGCTCCCCACTAGGACCTCGCAGGTGCTTAATTAAGATATTGTGGTGGTGGATAGTGGGAGTTTGATCCCTTTGCAACTTCTCCTCTCTGTCCTCTTTACTCTTTCTCCCCTTCTCCCTTGATGCATGATTTAGCCATTACATCATCAGTATCTCTCAGAAACAGGCATAGAATTGGAACCAGATGGGAGAGCTGTTCTCTGATCTAGCTCTCCGGGCCACTCTTGCAGTGCCATGTCTTTCCTTACTTGCTCTTTCATCATCATTTCCTTCTGTACCTTATTCCTCATTTCAACAGCCTCTCTAGCCCTGTGTTCTGCAACATATAGAGCCTCATGCAACTTAACAAAGTTGTCATTAATCAGAACATCCTGAAGCCCACCCTTTCCTGATAAAAGTGTCCCCCTATGTGCTTTCCATGATGACCAAAATTTGCCCAATCCCTACTGTACAGGATGACCACAATTTCCCCAACGTGGGTAAACAGGAATATGCCCGGGTCTTAGCTGGCGTTGATAAACACTGCCAGACATATGCAATGGCCTTGTGGGCTAGATTCATAGAAGGTCAACAGAAACAACACTAATTAGCAAAGGCTATTTTCACTATCAGAAATGGTTGTGCACAATGACAGTGAGGAAGAAAGTAGTGTTAAAAAGTTTTCTCTGTAGTTCTTTTCATCCAGAATGCTAAAGAATCCTCCCCCAGGGGCTACAAATGGCAGCAGGCGAACAAGGGAAGTTAAATGCGTAATGATCATTTGAAAAGTACATACCTGATTGGGAAAAACATGGAAACAGAAAGAACAGTAAACAAACAGGTAATTCAAGGTTCTTTGTGCAGGAACAAAGTAACTATTTAAATTCATCAACTCAAAAAGATGAAATGACTCTGAAGGCAGAACAGCTTTTAGTCATAACTTTCAAGATCAACATATCCTTATGTGTGTGATAAAAGACAAAGGACAAAAGACAATTTCTTTAACTCAATCCATGTAATTTCTGCAGTAATTTAAAACAGAACTAAATGCTTGAAACTCTGGCCTAAGAACCTCGATCTTTGCAAAATCAGCATCTGCTCAAATACCATTTCCATGTGAAGGTATCTTCATTGACCTCCCCAACAAGGGTAGAGGATAATAATGTAAGAGGGTGAAACCTTTTGCGTGAAGCAAATGGAGATATGCTCAGATACCAAGAATTCAATACACAACATCGAAAGACAAGCACTTTAAACAAAGCTGATAGTAGAGAAAAAACTCTACTAATCGGAGTAGGAGGTGGCAAACGTCCTATCGGAACCACAAAATCTAATCCTTGGAGCAACAGGACCATTAACATAAAAGTTAACAAATCAACCTCAACCCATGCGGGAATTGTCTTTTACCAGATTTGTTTTTAAGCTGATATTCCATACATGACAGCTAAATTTCAGTTCCTCAATGCACCAGGATAAGCACTAGTCTTCATTATACACAAATAATTGTACAGCAAATGATTTGTGTGAGCACGGCACTATTTTCCAACATTCCAAGCAAAGAACATGGGCACCTAGCGAGCAATGGGGGCCAATCAAATGCAGTCTTACTGGTACTCAAAGCAATCTTATTAAATATTAACATCCTGCAATCTTGAAGATTAGGGCTTAGCACCTCTCTTTGTAGACGAGAGCAAATAGATAATCATTGCACAACAAGGGAATGCTGACTAGACATCTCACTGAACATAAGGTTCTCCAGACATGCATTTAAGTTATTCCTTGCACATAAAGACATTCGACTCTATTCATGGAAGTAGCTCTCAAACTGTCTGATAAAGGTAAAAACATAGGTCATCAACAAATGAAAAGCCACCACAACATAAGATAAAATCAACATATGAGCAGCTGATTACATCACACAACCAAGCAAGGTGCGGATTTGAATATCAAGATGTGGCTAATCGTTTCTAACTTACTGCTCTTAAGACCACAAAACCGAGTAGCATGCTCAAACCAAGAAGGGAAAAAGTACACTATAGTAAATACATCTTTGGCTAGCTTGCATATCTCTCCACCATTCAACTAAATAACAAAACTAATGCAGGTAACCTTGCTTAAACTGGACTTCAGACATCCGGCAGGTCATACTCAACCCAGCCGGCAATCTATAATCAAACCCTCAACTCACACTAAAATTAGTTCATTTTAAATGACCAGAGTAATCTATGACAGAAAAGGAGCCTCTCAGGAGAGTGAAAATGATTAACAATGAAGACATAATCATTGGATTAAGGCAATAAGAACAACTGGCCTTTGTTAGTATAGCAAGGGCAACATTACCCTCATAGAATGAATACATACAAAAGGTCATACAGGTCACCAAAAAAATGACATCCAAGACAACAAAGCAAGCTGGGAAAACCATATCGAAGCATCATAAAAGGACATCAAGGACAGTTGAACAACTCAAGTAGTGAGAGCACCAGCTGGAAGATGATGGGGAACCAACGGGCGCAAAATCATCACGGAGAAACTATCCTTACAACCTTTAATTTCCAACCCATATTTTCAAGCATAACTGGCTCATATTCAATAACCTGAAAACAGGCACCGGATGAGGGCAGGTTTTTAATAATTTTTCCACCTGTCCCAATGATCAAGGCAACCTGATAGCGAATTTCCACAAAAAAAAAAAAGCTATTGGAGGAAACATAAAAAAAAAAAAGTAACAGAACGACCTCCCCATTTGGAAATTGTATCTCAACACGATCTCTTACGACCAGCTAAACAGTACTAACACCTTCAGTGACTTGTAACGCAGAACTACCCGCATCATTCTGAGGTAGCCAAAAATTTCGGTTATTAAGAAAATACATAGCTCCCCTAGTCAGTTAATACTCCCCAGAATTCACAAAAGCAATATCCCAAACAGGAGATTGATATTTCCAGAAAAGAAATCATGTTCAAACCTTTTACAATAAAGCTTACCCTGCTGAGTTACATCAAAAAGCTCCATTACTAGATCAGCATTGACTACAGCCCGGCTCACACAGGCAACAAACATTTGTGGATCATAAGACTAACTTATACCAGGAAACAATCATATTTTTAACTCCATTAGCATTTTATTTCTTTTCATTTGCTTTATCAAAGGAATCTTCAAAAAATATACTTCCCAAACACCAATGGAGTGATTTCATTGGACACAAACCAGATATTGAGACACTATCATAACTCAAAATTATAGAAATTACTAATGCCATGCTTACTGGTACTGTTGTGCATGCCCAAGCTTAAATGGCTTGTTTCTCTTCAAATAAAAATTGAAGAGCTTAATCCAAAATCAAGTCCCAATAGAGCTAGCAATATTATCAAATCAGAAAACCAATAGCCACTTTTCGCTTCACTGATCAATTCCAATTTAGACCAAAAGTAGCTCTTCAACATGACCATCCATGGGGTTTAGTTTGTATGAATATCTGACGTTATTGGGCCTACAAGAATTTAAAGGAAAAACTTCTCCCAGAAACGATAACATTAAGACTCCTATTCACCAGCTATTTTGTCAAAAAATATTCCAGAAAAGCACAAGAGATCCTAGCAAACAGAGAATTTATACAAACCATAATGTCTTAATAGTACCACCTCTAAACCCAGTTATAAACTTAGACCAAGACTTGTACTTTTTACTGGTTTCATCAACTACTTTGATCATGCAAATGAAGTTCATCAAAATTTGAATTAATCCCCGACTTCTAAACGCATAAGAACCGTGCTCAAAATAGAAGACTAAAACACAATTCTCCCATGAACTTGTAATCGAGATAACAATAAGTCCTTCAACTGGGAGTTCCATTTTGAATTGGAGACCCAGGAGTCCCCTTATCAAATCGGACCATGGTTTGCTCCCTTTATCATTGAGACAATTCAACGCTCACTGCCAACAATTCCAAGAAATACACATGCATAGTTCAAATTTTCACTTAATTGTATGTTCATGCAAATTCGCACAATCAACCTTCAAATTTGCTTATGCATTACTCTCATCATCACTATTACCACCCTAGGAAAGCTTAAACAACCCATTTCTCCGGTTCTCCAACCTTAGAGAGATTCCATGATTTTAAACTTGGACGTTATCATCCACTTTCGGTTCAACCAAACTTTCATTCAACTTACAAAAGGGTGTCAAATTAACTAGGGTAACCACATACTCAGGGTTGGAGTCGATGGTATGATTATTTTCAGAATAATAACTCACGGAATCACTCAATTGTACACAATCAACATCCACTGAACTCGGAAATTTATCATCATAGCGCTAAAAATTTTCATGAGGGAAAAAAAAAAAAAAAAAAGAGTTACATATTCCAAACACACACAGATAGAGTTAAATATTCCAAACACACTAATAATTACAAAATGGTCCCTTAAATTCATATAACTCTAAACATACCCCTAATAATGGATTTTTCTTTCCTACCTATATGGAGCAGAAAAACCTCGGCCCAAGTTGGGTTTTGTTTTGTGTATTTTTACGTATTTTCTCTATCTCCCCCTCTATTATAGATATTATTATTAGTATTTAGTAGTGTATATACTATATCCTACTATATTAGAAACAAAAACCTCCCTTTCAAACACCTCATATGATTGCCACGTGGCATGTAGAAAATACTAAATTGCCCTTTTATCTAACCATAACTAAATTACTAAATCTCCCTTTGCACTTTACGTGACATGTTTTTTTTTTTAATTTTTTCTTTATGTTTCATTCAACTAGAGTGGTTTTTTAAATTGAATTAATCAATTAGGTTTTTTGTTACAAAGTGTCAATTTTGTTTTAAGCATATACCCTTCGGATGAAGCTTATTACAAAGCTATTAAAAATCTCCAAAACTAAGTATTGATTTGGCACGACCAATAGAGAACGTCAATAAATCATCTTACTAATATTTAAATTTATTAGGATACTTTTATATTTTATCTAACATTTACTTCAACACATATATTCGATTAAGCTATTTATTTAATAAGTAACACTTATAAAACATACAAGGCGAAATACAATTTTTTTTTTTTTTGCGAAATACAAATATTTCTATGATCACACTTATAAAATATTTTTAAATCCTTCAAACATTTCTAAAATATATCGCTCCAAATACAAAATTTATTTTTTTCAAATATAAACATTTCTAAGATCTACAGATAGACTGGGCCATTGCGCGACCAGACATCACTAGTATATATATATATATATATATAAAAGATAATATGCTTCTGAATATTTTTTTCCCTTCTGTGTAACCTCTTCGAAAAAATTCAGTGAAAGAGGCGGGTAACCATCATGGATCCCGGATCTAGTCGACAACCCGATACAGATGACAATCGCCGCCGTCCCCCAGCCCTTCGAGAAATCTTAGCACAGATAGCAGCTCAACGTTCCAAATCTACACCTTGCCTCCACCCCCCCGCCCGAGATTGGAAAGAGAGAGCAGCCTCGATTACATCCAATGTTCCTTGGCGTCCTGTTCCTTATTCGGTTTGGAGTAAGTATCCTCCGCCGCCGCCGGAGCATTGGCCCCGCTGGCCCGGCGGTATTGTTCGATGCCCACACTCCCATTATTACCCCCATCTTGTTAATGTGAGTTCTTCTTCTTCTCTTCTCTTTTTACCCCTCCCTCCCTTTCACTCTTTATATATATATATATATATATATATATATATATATATATATATATCGTTATCTCTCGTTCTGATTTTTCAATATTGCTTTGTTGCAGGGAGGAAAAGTCATGAAAGTACCTGACCCTCGTTTGGCCCCTCCCCGCTCCAAGCCATATGAATATGATGTAAGCTATTATCCCGAAGAAAAGGGGAACACAGCTCTGGCTTTGGCTGTACCACAAGGTGTTCTGGTAGCTATTACTCATCATAGTCAAGGTGTGTGTCTATGTTTTTTTTTTTCTCTGATTTGACTGTGATCTAGTACTTATTTTAGTGCCTGAGTTGCTTAAATTGATATGTTCATGAGCAGTTAAATAGGAGGAATACACTTTAACATTTCAACCCATTGAATAGCTTATTAATTAATTTTTGGATACCGCTGTATTTGGAGGAAAAATGTTTGGAAAGTTGGCTTGACGATGTGTAATAGTATTAGATTGTTTGCTTTGGGTACATGTTAAGCCAGGAGCATTTGATGAAGTATCTGACCCTGTCTATCAAATTCATTATCAGCTCCTCCCCAGCCCATTATTTCTCTTGGTCCTACCGGAGGAAAGGAGGTCATGATGGTCACCATTTCTGGAGGAGAGGCTCGGAACTGCACTCAGTTGCTACGACTTCTGGAGGATAGGGTATTTTCCCTATGATTTTGTTTGTCATCCTAAAATGCCCATCTCTTTTTGGTTTCCTTTTTTTTTTGGTGATGTTTGTAAATGATTATGTACATTGTGTATGCCAGTGCTGTAGGCTCGTTCAGTTGGGGGAGTTAATGTGTTTCGACATGGTAATTAAGGAGATGACCAATATTCTCTCTACACGCCCTGAAGTGGGACTGATCGCTGGGTGGGACCGTGATGCAATGGTATTATTATTATTACTATTATCCTTTCTTTGTCTGTTATTAGGTTTAGCTGGTTCCGGTATTTGCTTCAGCCTTCGTATACCCCTGTGAGTCAATTGATTTCTTTCTTGTAGGCTCCTGCTGTGTACCATGTGGATGGTATGCAAGGGCTGATTAAAGGGGAAATATTGGCTACTGGATCTGGGTTTAGAGACCTGTATGCTTTTCTGGACTGGGAGACCCGGATAAGTGGGAAAAAAAACTTTCCTGATTCTCCGTCTTGGTTGGACAACGTACTTGAAGACCCTTCTCAGTACGAGTATCGCTCCTTTTCCTTGATTTTTCCTCATTCTGGTTCACTATTTTTTTTTTTTTGGTTTGAGTAATAGTTGTGTGACATCTTTGTCATCTTTATTTGTTGTTTTTGTAGAAAGTATAGCTCTTGGTCTTGTTGGTCTCTTCGTGAAGCCTCAAAGATGGCCCTAAAAGGGATATGCAGGGTTGCAAATACTACTAGGAATGGCCCAGACTTAGTTACCAGTATGTTCTCTCCTGTTGCTTTTTTCATGTTTCCATCTACCCCCCTCCTTTCTTTTTCTAATGGTGAGTCCATTTCTCCGTTGCTTGAAGTGTTCTGTGTAGGGCGTAATAGATCTTTTTCTACTGTTGATCGTGACGTGCGAGTCGAAGAGGTTCTGCGGAGTTGTGGGATGTCTATCTGTGTGCATGGAAAGCCCATATATACAGATGAAGAGGTAAGGCGGATGCAGGAGCCTTCATCAGTTGCTGGGTGCAGTTATTAATTTATTTAAGTAGAGATGGGATCTTAATTATGCATGACTATATAAGAAGGTTTTGTATGTGGACTCTTGATTTGTTGTCTCTCAAACTACGCTTGTTCCAACTTTATTATAAGATTCTAAATTGATCTTTTCTTTCGTAAGAGTTCATTGTTGGAAATGGAAGCTGTCTTTTTGGCTTCAAGTGTGATGTTGTGACTCGTGAATGCCCATTGCCCACCGCACTGGATTGCTGATTATGTTCTTTTACTTTTTTTTAAATTTTTATTTTTTAACAGACCAATATTTTATTAGTGAACGTTAATATTATACAATGTGTTCTCTCCTACCTCCATAGTAACCCTGACAAGTTACAATTTGATAGGAAAGGCAAAATGCTATAGTTACCTCTTTCTCAATGTGAGCTAGGAAGCTACCTGTAGAGTTTATTCCAAAACTATCACTTGGTTTTAGAGCTAATATATAGAAACGTGATAATGGAGTTGGTCCAAGTCTTTGATCCATTGTTAGACTGCTACGTGACGTGGTAATGGAGTTGGTCCGAGTTTTTAATCCATTGTTAGACTGCTATGTTTATGGCTGAGTACAATGTTGGTGCTTTTCACCCAAGGAAAGTTCTACTTTCTACTTTGATGTAGTAGCTAACCTTGTGCCTCCTTTGATGGCTGAGTGCCTCCGTTTTATTGTATTAAAAAGGCAAGTTAAAAGGAAAAATTGAAACAGCTCAGCAGTACAACATACACATACTTCAACATACTCCATTTATCAACACATACGTACTGTAAATTGAGTGAGGGTTGGAACTTGGGAGGCCTTGTACCTGGTCACACGCTCACCAAAACTAGAATCCTTAATCAGGAACACGGCAAATCCATGCACATGTGCACCGTATCACATACTTCATTCTGAGGATTTATTCCTCGGTAAATAGGGCAATTTGCATAAACCAGGGAACTCACATTCTTCATCTGAACATGAAGTGGATGTGAGATCAGCATGGACACGGCAAGCAATAGCGAATGCGGTTGCGATGTCTTGTCGCTGTGCTTCACGATGACGCGAAGTGCAGCCAATACATATTAGATCCTAGCGAACCAGCTGCAACAAACAATATCAGAGCCCTGCGCCAATGAATATGGATATTACTACCATAGATATTACCGGGAAAGGCGTTAAACATGTTAGCAGCACCGCAGCATTGCAAGTGGATCTTTTAGAAGAAGTTAATGCTAAGAAGTGGTAGAACTTATAAGATGAAAACCTAAAATGGTTTTTTACTTTAGATGAATACTTGTAAGTTGTCCATTGCAAATGTATCCAAAAGAGTTATCATTGACAATTTTTTTAAGCTTTGTGTTAATAATGGGCTAGATCAAAATGGTTATTTTAAGACTAAAATGTCTAAATGGTCCCTTACATTTGGGCTTACTTGATTTTATGTCTCTAACATTAACATTTCAATCTCGTAGTGCCAAACATTATGTTGTCACACTTTTTTAGTCTCATTTCACTGCTTCAATCACTTTTCCGTCTAACTCGATATTGACCGGCAGTTGACATGCCGGAATCAGGGGTATTTTCGTCTTTTCATATAATTTGAACTTCTATTAAAATTTAAATCATTAAAAATATTATAAAAATTCACATTTATTATTTAATTATTAAAATATTATTTATTAATTTAAAATATTATTTTAAATTTTAAAATTTAAATTATTTTCAAAGTTACTTCTTTTTACTAAAGTAAATGTTAATTATGTTGCACTTTTAACCCCAATTCACTGTAACTTTAAAAATTTACTAAGTCACGGGAAATAATTTAAAATTCAAATTAAAAAAAAAAAAAGCAAAACCAAGATTTTTTACTTTGACCGCTATAATAAATCTTGAATTGTTTCTAAAATTTTACCGCGATATAATAATTAATTAAAAATTCAAACTTTTTTTTTAAAAAAAAAACACAAGAAAATTGTGGGGTGAAAATCTAAATAAAAAATGGTTTATTTAAATTTTTTGCTTAGTTGTTGCTTTGAATTGAAGATATAATTTAAAATGTGATTTTAGTGAAAATTTTAAAAGTTGTTGGAATAGAAATTCAAATAAAATAATATTATTTTTACACCACCACCCGACACCTCTACCACCGCTTCCCACCGTCGGACCATCTGCTGCCGCCGTGGGGCCGCCTCCAGCCGGCCAGATTCTGGCCTAGTCGCCGTAATTACAGCAACTTCACCGTGAAAGATTGCCGATCAGCGTTTGTTGAGAAATGAACGGCCCAGAATCCAGTTGTCTGACTATAAACTACTTTATTTACCATAGTACTGTAAACATATGCAAGGGGCAACGGCTTGTATGAACTGTATGTACGTATTTGCTTTTAGAACTTAACATAGTATCATTTGTTAAAATATTAGCCAACTGTCTTGAAGAAAGAAAAAAAAATTCTCTCCACAAAGAAATTCTCTACATCCTAGTTTGTAATTTGTACTAAAAAAAATACAAATAACCAATTATATACTTTTTTTTTGAAGGAATAATATTTAGCCAATTACCGCAACAAGTGCTAAATCAACTACAAGAAACTGGCAACAAATAATACAATTGCTGGCCTTGCTCACGGTCATTGTACAATCTATAATCTATAACTCCCGTCATAACAAAAGCCAATTTTCTCACAAAATTCCAAGTGTCCTTATTTCCTTACAAGTCTCCTCACCAAATGTCCCCCCAAAAAAGTTTATAACCGGGAATTTTGTCTATCCTTAAAAAACTAAAACTCAAAAAATTAATCAATCTATATATCTATATATATTCCATTATAGGAAAAACCACTACAAGCATAAATGCTAATGTGTCGCAATATCCTTGCTCTATTTCCCGCTGAAATCATCAGTAAATCGAGGTAATTAAATAAATTACGTTAGCTAAATAAATCACTCTCAAAAAAAAAAAATTAAAATCCTAAATCTGCCCACTACTTCAATTTCCTTACACCCACGATCCCCAAAACCACAATGAAAATAAACGACCAAAGCCAACATGAGGATAGTGGGCAGATTGTTGTTTCTGTATTTATTCATAATCAAAGTTTCCGGCTGCATGGAAAAATATTAGAGCTAATGCGACGGAAGTTGAACATGGCTACCTTAAATCAGGTGCTTATGCTATTTATAATTGCCTAACTATATAATTTTTAAACTTATCAGTAGAAGTCCACGTCCTTTCCTCCATCAAATCTTCACGTTTACACTAAGAAAAAAATTCAGTTAGTTCTTTTGCAAATCAAGACTTCAGATTTGACGAAGAAAGCAAACACAACAACACAAACACAGTAATTGTCATATTCTATAAGGGTCTGCGGGTTATGCTATAAGGATCAGCGGTTAACAGCGGAGATTTTCTTGGATTTCCAATTATTTTGTCATATTGTTCTGGCTGAATATACTTGCCAAACGTGAAGGTATTTTTTTCTGTTGATTACATTGATCATGCGGGATTTTTTTTCTTCCATTTTCCGTCGATACTTGAAAAACATCGAATTTCAAAGACAAGACTAACGACAAAAATCTGGAAGCAGCACACCGCCGTTGAGTTTTGCTATCCTTCATTCGAATTTTGAAATTTTTGATTTTGAATGGTCCTTTGAATGTTGTACACGTATATTTAGTCAAATGTATTTAGTATTCACATGTAAATGTGTTCGGTAAAGTTTTGGCTTATACGGTATAAAGTTCGAAAATTAGGCCAACATGTCAATTTCGCATTGTCAATTATGTTACTAATGCATATGTCTTAGAGTACCATTTTATTTTTTTGGTTCCTACAGATATGAAATGTTTGCATATTTCTAAAGACCATCCTTCTTTTATTATATCTTTCTTTTATAAGAATACAAATATACTTCGGGTTTTCAATCTGGTGAATTTGAATCACTATTATTCATTATTTACCCTGGACTCTGGCGAGTTTAGGAGTTCTCCCTGCTTGTAATTTATTCATGTTAGAGTGACGATTGATGTCTTCAAGAGTGACATCATGCATGTTTTCATAGGTCCCAAAAAAGTGCCTTGCTGATGAGTTGCATGTAAATGTGAATAAGTTAATCCTAATAAGTACATAATGCATTTTATGGTCTTTAAAGAGACTTTCGAATCATGGTCTCTGAAGTTGACTTAAAGTTTTAGCTTTGTCTCACATTATTCTTTGCTGATAAACTTAAAGTGATTAATTGTTGTTTGTAAATGCATTTCTGAATTGAAATAGTTGGTTTTGACACCTCTTTGGTGGAATACATTTTGCCTGAGGTGTAAGGTGTAAGATGCTAAACATGTAAATGTAAGGTAATGCCCATTACATGAATCCAACCATAAAAAAATTAAAAAAAAAAAAAGTCAGGCTTGATGGTCTTGCCCTTTGCCTAATGATGGTGACTAGAAATAACGATATTGTGCAAGAATTTTATTGTTGATTGAATATTTTTCAGCAGCATATATTTTTTTTAGCAGCATATTTAATGGTAACTTTGATGCTTAAAAGAATGTCTTTCTTTTCCAGTCCAATAGATGATGATGTTAATTTGGGTGGTGCTATGATTTTCTTATCAAGAGTCAGGATAAAAGTGTAAGGGCTTAATCAATTCCCTAATGTAACTAAAAACCTTTTTTTGAAAGATCTACATAGGAATTAATGAAACCATTGTGGCTGAATTCATACTCATGCATTTTCATATTCAATGCTCTTCCTTACACTAATAACATTCAGGATTACTAATTTGCTTGCGAAGATAAATCCTTTGCGTTTCATCTATATGCTCTTCATAATACTAATAGCATTCATGATTACTAATTTGCTTGCTTAGATAATTATATGCATTTCTCGCATTAATTTATACCCCAACAAGATTGCATCTACTGGGATTGAGACAGACCTAATTGATTGCGAAGTCACTTACGGTCAAGTTACATTCAATTGATTCCAGTTTACAAAAGGTGTCTACTATG